CATACTTATTAGAAAGCAATCTAACTACCTCTATGGAAATAATTTGCTTCAATTGACTTCAATTGGCAAATTCACAGATATCTAAGAAAACCTCACTAGTTCTAAAAACCCTGAATTTTGAGACCATAACCTACAAAAACCTTTATACCTTTCAATCTAATCATTTGATCAAATCCAAATTCACAACACATATTAAGCACAACTACACTCACAAATCCAAAAAATTTCACTTGTAGATCTATAATCAAACTCTTGAAATTATCCTAAACATCAATCCTATTTTATTTTCTAAAAATTAGAGTCATTAAAAACAATATCAATTTTGTAAAGCTCTTACAAAGTCATTATCTACCAAAAATCCTCAAAATCAATGCTTATAAAAACCCTTTTAAGTTTTATCTCCAATTCCATTCTTTGATCAATCAAAGAATCATAGAATTATTGTCGAGGCTTGGTTTTGTGCCTCAAGATTTGATTTCGACCTTGGTTGGTAACCGGTCTTCTCTAGCTATCAATTTTTTTCTCTTTTGAGATAAATTCTACTAAAATCAACTTCTAACTCCCTTTTATATATGCGTGTATCTTTTATTTTTTTAATCTACCTTATTTTACTTTATTTATGGTCCTAAAAAGTAAATAGAAGCTACTTTTCTAAAAAGGTAACATTACTACTAAAAGTTTTATTACCTTCTTATCTTTTTTCTATATTTTTTTAATTTATCTTTTAACTTGGCTCTTCTATAATAAGATCCATATTATTATCTTTTATCATATAGTCATGTTATAACACGACAGCATAAAGTATTCATCCCAGTCATTAAGATGAACCACAACAAATGCTCGAAGCATATTTTCCAAGCTTCAATTTGCATGTTCTATTTGTCCATTTATTTGGGCATAAAGGCTCAGACATGGCAAGTTGTATACCTAATAGCTTAAACAAGGCTTGTCAAAAACTTTTTGTGAAGCATGGAACTTAATCTAAAATGATGACATAATGTAATCTATGGTGACAAAAGTCAATATCAATGTATACAAATTGCCAAATAAAATGGTAATAATATCTAGTAAGGCTTAAAAATGAGTGGACTTAAGAAACATTCTTAGTGGTTGGCCAATCTTCCACTACTTTTATCTTAACTTGCTCCATACACAAGCCTTTGGAAGACACCACATGTCTCAAAAAAGTGACCTTTGACTTCAAAAGTTTACATTTTGATTGCTTGTAATATAAGCGACTATCTTATAGTCGATGTAGTACTTTTTATAGGTGTTACTCATACTTTTCATGAATTTTATTATATACAAGGATATCATCAATGAAGACAACTACATACTTGTCCAAAAGGTCCTAATATAATTTAAGTCACATGCAATGGCTTAAGCAATAAATTGTTCTAAAGATTTTGTCTTTAGCATTGCCAATAACAAGACTTTGACATTATCCTTCAACCCATATCAAAATTGATTGATAAGGGCTTTGTCATTTTAGTCCATGTCACAAGCAAGGTTTTAAAATTCAGCAGTGTATATAGTAACTAGCCGTGATCTTTACCATAAAAATAAGAGCTTGGTCTTTGCTACTCTTTTTTTATCACTTTTTCCAAATGTGGCCATAAACACTTTCAAGAATGAGTTCAAATCATAAAAGAGTTACGAATCTTTTTCCATTAAAGATACAAACCAAGGCAGTGTAGTTCTTGATAGAAGTGCACTTATGAATCTAACTTGAGTAAATCCATTGGAATATTGGAAATGATGAAACTTTAGATAGAGCTTGACTTCTTGCAAAAACCCTCAAAATTTTGATCTTGTTTCATCAAACTTCTCAAGTATACTAATCTTTATCTCTATTATATTTGTAGAAGCAAAATTCCTTAGATTTGATTATGATGTCAATCTACTTGCTTCTTTTAACTGTACAACTTCTTGCTACAGACATTAAACTTCTTCCATAGGTATAGGCATGGTACTTCTATGATTCACATTGGAAATACATGAGATTTCTACTCTTAGAATATTGACAAGTTCATGAAGATCTGCAATAGTTGCAAATCTATTTTTATTTCTGCTGAGGGTAGCATCCATAATCTTTTCTTCTATAGATAATTCAAACAAATTCAAAAATTTAAATTAAAGAAGGATAATCAAAAATTCTAATAAAAATTTCCATAAAGAAGAATAATCTACTTTCTTTAAGAATAAGATTAGTATTAAAAAATAAGATTTTTTGTTTAAAGGTGGATAGTCTGTAACCTTCAAAATCCAATAATAGAAGTATGATAATCCATTTACTTCTAAAACAAGATAGAAATATTAGATTAGCACTCTTATCAAACTATGAAGGACATGAATCTTGAAGAAAAACAATCTTCAATACACTCTTGTATCATTGAAGAAAAATAGAAAGTCACTCAAAGATAATATAATATTAAACTAGAATAGCTATTGCCAAAAATAAGAAGACTAGAAAGTCTTAAAATAAGACTAAAGACTAGAAAGGCGTTGACAAGAGTAAAAAAGGCTTCACTCTTGCCTCCATATATACTCTTAATTAGGAGCTATATAGTGATGTCTTATAAGACCTCCAAAACGTGTTGACTTTATAAGGTACATATCTTAACTTATAAGATGAATTTTCTATATGTGCGCGACATAGTTAACTTGTTCCATAAGCTATCAATACGTGATTAACTTCTTAATCAAGTTTCTAATCTATCAATCAACTACAAACATATATAAAGTCAAAACAGCATCTATGAAGCTTTTAAAAAGCTTCCCTAGAAGAACTTATGAAATTAACCTATTTTTATCTATTTTTATCTATTCCTACTTAATCATATAGATATTTATTAAAGTACCTATATATGTCTATAACACAGTCCATCAAAATCCATTGTAAGATTCTTTGGTAGTTTTTTTGCTATTGTATATTGAATTGTAGTTAATCTTTTAGCTTGAAGTTGGGAGTGTAATATCAAGAGGCCATACATTGGCTTCTTTTTTTCTAAACCTTCTCTTAGTCATTCTACTCAATTTTTTAGATAATATGAGAGTGTCTATCAGAATAGTGGTTTTTAGACCTTGCTATATATTGACTTGTCAAATCCATGATATAGTACATCTCTTTTGCCAATGAGATTGGAGAGCTTATTAGAATGGTAGGATTTTGACCATAGATCAAGAATCGAGGAAAAATAATTGTTTGAGAATCGATCAGCATTTATAGATGACAAACATTATTATATTCAAATACAACTATGAAGTAGTTGGTTGTTCTTTAATTGAGAGAACCACTTTATTTTTTATATTATCTTTTTGTGATTTTATACCTTTATATTCTTTTATTAGATATAATTTTATCTAAGTATAAAGTATCACAAAATTATTATCTTATGTATAAGTTATAATAATCTATTATAATTTTTTATGCCACTTTGATAGATGCATTGGTAATTGAAAGTAGTGTGTGCCATCAAATGCTTGCTTTGATGGCTGTACAAAAAATTTAATCCATTTCTTTTGCATTATATAAATCGCTTCCGAGCATTGCTCCAAGTTCTCTTGTAATCTGAGAAGCCACCTTCATGAACTTGCTTGAGATGCTTTTTAACGTTATCCAAGTAAGAATCCTAAATTTTCTTAAGCAACTTGAATCAAAGCCAAGGACCTAAGTCTCTATTATATAAGTTTTCTACCACAATTAGTAGAAGGTGAGTACAAGTAGCTTCTAAGTTGTGGTGGTATGTTGACTAAGGATTTGAAAAAATCCTTTACTCAATTCTTTCAAAGTAGCAATCCATTTAACTAGAATTTGAAAGAACCAATTCTATTAAGTTACAATTGTAATAAGAAACAAAATAAAACCTTAACACAATTGGTTTTTAAGACAATCACACCTTAACACAATTGTGCCTTAATACAATTGGTTCTTTCAAAGTAGCAATCCATTTCACTAGAGTTTGGAAAGATAGCTTACATCCAATGAAGTATGCTACCACAACATGTTTTAGCAGGTACTATGATTATTGTTTCACCACATTCTAATCCACTTGTATTGCCAATACCATAGTATGGAGAAGAAAATCCATAAGGCTATGGGTATATCCTGGGGAAAGAGTTTCACCTACTAACGGAATTTTTGGATGGATTACAACAAACTTCTCCATATTAGTGACCTTGGCCACTAACTCCAGTTTGATTGTGTCATTGTTTTTGACTGCTCTACAATAGTCTCTACTGGCTTTTGAAGTGGACGGTTCAACCAGGGCGTGCGGTAACTTAGCACCCATAAGACAAAGCGCCTTCCACTAGTAAGAAAACTAACCACACCCTAATCCTAACTCTAATTTATTAAATTAATCCCCTTTGCTGCCCCACTTGTTGCTGGATTACAACTACTGAATGGGATTTTGTAATACACTGCACAAAATGCGCACAATCATTAATCGATTGGAACTAAAGCATACTCAATCTCCTGATCTACTATCCGCCTTGGACACCCCCAGCCACAACCAGCTGGGCCCTCCAGAGATTGATGGCACTTTCTTTCACGAGATGTTGTAAGGAAGAGATTTGTATGAATGAAGAAGGGGATGGAGCAAGGATGTATCAGCTGACAAACAATCATATCATCTTATTTGGAACATTTTTCCAATTTGCCAGAAGTGGAATCTGGGTACTGAAAAGCTCAGTGTGCACATTTAATGGCTTGACAATACAACTGTGGAATAGCCATTGGGTCCATCTCCACCGCAAAAGAAAGTATAAGAGTATCTAAAGTGTCATTAAGGTTTGAGGAGTAGATGAGTTTGATGCGAGAAAAGTTGCTGATATGCGCGCCGCCGCCATTCAAAATTGACGCACCGACAGTACATTGACTGCGGAAGGTGATTTGGGTGTTGACATGGGCCTAGATAGTCAGAAGGTAGGGTGTCAGTTTGTTCAGAAAGGGGACAATGATAGCGACACACACATACTCGGAACAGATGGTAAAACAGTAACAGTCAACAGTCCCGGTCGTGGACAGCACACTTTGTTCCAGCTTCGGAAACAGATATTGGTGTTTACTGTTTGTAAAACTGCCTCCTCCTTGGATACAACTCATAGAATCTCTCAAGAGGGGCGTGAATGGGGTACTGCATCAGATTAGAAAGATCTGAAGTCGCATAGACGGATTCGTCCACCAGACGCTCCACATTATGCAGCCTCCCAGGAATACCAACTCTCCACCCTGCATGACAGGGCTTGCATCCGAAGACCAGAACGCCTCGAACCGAGGAACCAACACACGGCTACGGATCTGCGTGAAGACATAATCACGGACTATCGTGACTTAAACTAATGTACAACATTCTAATGTCTCATCAACCCAGTAGTGGCTGGAGGACTACCGTTGAGGTAGTATTCTAAACTAAAAAGCCATTTGCACTCTAGACCTGTAAGACGTTCCAGGTCTGAAGTAGGCGGGAATGACTCCTCTAGCAAGCACTGTGTGACGGTTCAATCTCGATACAATTCTAATATCCATGGGGCCCCTGAACGGCTTCCCGTCGTAGTTGGGAATCATCCAGTTAGCGCCCCACGCATGCCTCATCGGCTGGAACTTATACCAGTTCGCCATCCTAATGTACACCTGACCAATGTCACCAGGCCCTCCCACGTACTTTATCAAAATACTGAGCCAGAAGGGACTGGAGCCGTTATCAACACGGAATTCTATATTGGTACCCCTGTATCGACAAGGGACTCTCTTGTAGAGCAGGTTGTACAAACCACGGTTGCGGAGCTGGCCTTCTCTCCCACGCAACGCCATTGCATTTATCGCGGCCCCGCTCATGTCGAAGGCATTTTCCCCGGTGCTGCAGTAAGTTCCACCGGGACAGAAATCAGTCACGACGACGTTCGTGCCTTGAGGATTGCAGAGCCTGGGTCCTCCGTTTGGATCAACACACCTGATTTGATAGCATTGGCCGCAACCCTGCCCATTAGCATAGATTGACCTGCTTCCGGCAACAATTTTAGGCCCGATGGGTGTGCCCCAAAGCTTAGTGTATCCGCAGTTTCCTCCTGAAAACGCAAGAGCAACCGTCAGAAAAATGACAACGATACATATAATTCTTTCAGATTAATTAGTTTGGACAAGGAATTGCTGAACATATTCTTAGCTGGAAACGTACCGCTAGAGCCTTCGCCATAAGGATCCCCGTACCAGGTGCCGCGAGCGCGGACCCATCGCTCGTGGTATCCATTCTGGGCCAAATAGCCCGCTTCGGCTGCTTGCAGGCTCAAAAGGCCCACACACACCAGCCACACCGCTTGGAAAGCCGTCGACATAGCAGTAACGCTGTGAGCTCTCGGGGAATCCGACCTTGCTGAGAACCAAGGTAACCGACTGACGTTCCGGTGCTGCTACAACATCGCTGAACCTGAAATTTAATTAACCGAAATGAGACAGAATGCTTCACCTGCAGATTCTTGATCGATGTCACTTGAGAACGAGGATGAAGTTTATATGGGGGTTCGAGGGTGGAGGAAGAAGAAAAGTAAACCAATAACATACTAACTGTTTGCGGTGCGGAGCTGAGCGCCAGGAGGTAGTCTCGGAGGCATCAAACAAGCAACGACGCTCCGATTCTGTTGGCGGACATTCGGCAATGCGGACTTGCTGCCGAAAATAACCAGGAGTTGGGATAGCACATTTTTTGGATGGTCAACACTGTTCTTTCACTCATCTTGTTGAGGGCGTGATGTCGGAATGGATCGTCATGGTCAACTTCGCAATGGGAAAATTAGCTTAAAAGACTTTGCATCGGCTTCAATCCTGGTTAGTGATGTGGAAAGAACTGTAGGTTTTGTTACTAGCTTACCCGCGGTAACCTCATACATGCCTCTCAAGTCTTGACAATCTAACTTTGAATGTCACGAGTCTGCTGGGTCAAAGGTTTACTTTGTTGCTTAGTGTTTCGACCATACATAATTCGTTATCCTTTATTAACTATTGGATATTTCCTGTCAATGGTTGGGATTCACTCGATGTAAACTCAAATGTGAGGTTGCCGAAAAATTGTCATGACGGTTCTCAAACGATCAAGTATAGAAAGCAGTGATGAAATATGCTGCGCTTTGTGCCAATGCATAATCATTCATAGCGTACACACTTTTTACATCAAGGAACTTTAGCTACCGTTTCAAGCATACAAAGGTTCCACCTAGAAAAGAGGCACCACATCACACCTAATATTATTTGGATGCAGTTTTGAATAACAGGTTTCAAAGGTCGCTCCGCATGACATTATTAGAAATAACTGTTACTTGAAGGTAATGGTCAATACCTAACACTAAATTATTTTATGACCCACATCCATCTGTTCCAGAGGGCCAGGCAATTTGGTACCACTATTATTCATTCATAGTTGATCGGCTTTTTCATCTAAGGAATGCATCCTTGGAGTATTGGACAAATTGGAAGACAGAGTCGTTTTCCTTGTTTGATTCAGTATTAAGATCTTGTAGAAAGTGTGAAAAAGTCTTGATCCACGTAAAAGCTACTGCGGAAGCTGTTAATAAGCCCGTACCATTAATATTATTCGACTTCAGTAATATCAGTAGTCGATTATGCAAACATCCACTTTTCCGTGGACGAAGCTTCCCACCCCAACAATGCTTCGTAGTAATTTTGTACATTCCAAACGCATGAATCTTAAATGACAGAGATGCTGTAAACGAATTATTTTTCCCATTTGGTTCTTTGATTTGTTTGAACTGTTCTGCTCCTTTCACTAAGTCCTCGCTGTTTAAAATAATCAAGGCACCCTGACTCGAGTGGCACGTGTATTCTCTGAGCCTATTTCATAGTAGTTGTCTCGTTCTTCACATCTCACGCTAGGTTTGTGTTGGTTAACAGCTGTGAACTCGGAGATTTGGAAAGTAAATTTTTAGTACTTATTACAGGTGTGATTAAACCTTTTAGCCTATGTGGCAGGTACTTGATCTCCAAGTTAAAGAAGATTTCAAAACAACACTATCTCTATACTTCTCACAACTTTGTAACTTGCAATTTCAGCCGCGTGACCTATCACAAAGCTCTACAATTGTGCTGCCAGATATTTTCTTGAGGATAAAAATTTGTGTAGATGCTGAATGACTAGGGGCGAGGAGAAGGCGAAGATGACTCTAACTCATTTCATGTGTTTCAATTAAGAAGAAAGAGATGGCACAATTTCAGCTCATCATATCTACTTTCATCTCAAGGACTTCAACAGAATATCTCTACGTATTTTAGGTGTATCTGCATTTAGCCTCACAAATTGTCCAGATTTTCCATTCATGTGTAGAATCCATTTGTACTTATAAAGCTGCAACGCACACTAGCAACATCGGCAACGACCACCAGTGATTCAGCGCGTATCCACTCTGAACACCAGAGACATTAGAGACAGAGGTACAGCTAACGTGCTAAACCATGGACTTTTTTGGGAACTTGTCCGGCGCCATTTCAAAAATGGAAGCTTGAGCCAAAACCTTATTACTGCAACTTCAGTCTCACAAGTCGACCAGTAACGCTCCACGATTCAACTGTAAATAGTGAGAACCATGGTGAAAGTAAATTCTCCGTGCTAAAGGTCTCAGTGCCTGTTCTGAAACAGGATCTACAGGAAAAAATACACAAAGCATGTTCCAATAACTTTTTTTAAAAAATAAACCAGAAAGATAAAAAGCCGACGGAATAGCCAATGTGAAGCAATGAGGTGCTCGTTGATTTCTGAACGTGCAAATTTTACCAGGTTTTTCTAAATTTCCTCCTGTCTCCATCCACAAATTCAAGGTTTCGCGATAACGGAGTGCTTCATGGATTTTATGTAACACCTGCGCAAACTCGTACCAACACGCTACCCCTGCTGATGACATCGCGAACCGAGATAATAACACTTAGAGATTACTGCGACCGACATCTGAAATTTGACTCACGTTATTTGATGTTGGATAGAATGTAGACGTGGAGCAGGATCTCATGCTGCGTGGATTGGGCCCCAGACTTTGTGAACCATCTCCAGATTTCCGAAAATGTGCATTACTCTCCGAGAGAGAAGGGGCGCCCACCGTAAGGAACCGAAGCCCTTCTCACTCCTTAATACCCCACGATGTCGGCAAGTGGCGTCTGTATTGGCTTTTATTGCAGTTCAAATTGCGGCTGTTGCATCACGTCTGGTCTTTAGGTTGCATACACAACATAGGGGTCCGCAACAACCTCAAATGTGTTAAGAATTCTTCACTCCACCACACATAGAAACTGAGTGATTCTAGAGAGGTTATATATATATATATATATGTGCACCTGTGTGTGTGTGTGTGTGTACATCTATATAGAAATTATCGGTGGCGATTATGAAAATATGTATTATCCACAAATCAAGTGCGTTCATGAAACAAGTCTTACTGTTACACAGAATAAGCTGCAACTTTTGCCTAAATTAATTATGTTAATAAATCTATCAAATAAAAATTAGTTCAGATAAATTTATAATTATTCGTTATAAAATTTACAAAAACAGGGACCACAAGCCCTCAATCGTCATGATTCTAGTATTTTTAGTTAATTTTGTGAGATCAAATTTGAGAAAAGATTCTGGATTCGGAGTTACTGTAAAAGTCAAAGCAAAAGATTGCGGGAAGGAAAGGCTGGTCGATGATTGTCAGTTTCATGTCTTGGTTTAGTAATTGGCCCATAAATCATGGGTCCAAAGAAAGAGTCAGGGTCTTAAGTTACGGCGAAAATAACGTTTCTTGGAGGTCGGTGCGGCACGTTTAATATGCATTAGTAAAGAGATGCATTATCGACAGGTTTTGGAAGTTCCATCAATGCCTCGTTCCAAGCTGCCTTTCTTCTTTGAAAATAGATTGCATAATTTATTAGCCTTGATGTTAAATAGACACAGGAAGCATACAACTTTTGGCCATCATGATTTGGAAGCCTTTGTGGATGGTTACTTTGAAATGGTCTTCGTAAGCAAACCCCCTTTTTTCAACCGATACTGGCCATCTTGAGAAGGTTACTCCTCAGGAGCAAAAGCCTACGACTTGAGATCACTCACAAATTGATGTGCTGCATCCGTCGATGTTGTGGGCTCATTACACATCCTCCCTTCAAGCTTTTTCCAAATGCCCTGCCCGCTTCTGCCCCTCAGTAAATCTTCACCCCCACCAACTCCATTCCCCGTCCCCCAGCTCCCTCCGCAGGCTCGCAAGTGTGCTTCATGCATGTATGCAACGGAGGACAAAAGCACAAGCTCTGACGCTGACACGAATCGCGGGCTGATTAGAAGCAGATATCACTCAATCACACAAGCACAACGCAGTGCACAAGCGAACTTGGCGAGATCGAGTAGGGAGCTGAAGAGCCGTCGAGTGGGTAACTAGAATTATGAAGATTCATCGACGGACATTGTTCCGGGAAAATCTCATTTCTTTCTGTTCTTTTCGATTATCCTATTATTCCATCACCAAACCGCCTGTCCCTTTGACAGTGAGAATTTCAGAATCTTCACCTCGGAGTTACTCATGCACTCGGAGTCAACTCGGGCTGTTAGCACTAACCAACGTCCGGGAGGAATCTAGCGAACGCGGCACTGGATCGACTTGAGCTGTGCAGCGATCAGTGCAGCGGCTGAGCACGACCTGAACCAACAATGCTTGCACACAAGGTTGCACACCACCCCGAACAAGGGAATTCCGCAGCAGTGTCGTAAAAAGGACATGGCCCCAAGAGTCAAGACTGAGTCCCCAGCTCACTAGATTTTCCATTCACAGGTGGAGCAGTGCAGACACAGAGAGCGTCGAAACCAGTCAGACTGGAGTCCACCTCTCAGAGACCGCAGCACACAACTTCGGTGAGGAGGGGCAAGAAACCGCACGCCGAACGTCCAGTTTGAAGTGATGGATTCACGACAATTTCCAATGTGGGTGTGGGATTCAGTTCCAGTCTCGCATCTGGAGCTGTGCCCATGTCAAATTGCCATGCAGCAGCGCAGGTGAATTCGACAGGCGACTCCGGACTCTAGCGGCGATCTCTGCATGAATGAGGTCCATTGGAGTGAACTCGGGCGGTGAGCGGTGGCGGAATCGCTGTGGCTCTGAACGTAGACTGCACGGAATTGCAACACATAGACATTTGTAGATATTCATATCCTTGAAGCAACAAAAACTAATATTATAAATACAGAAGTTTTAAGTAAATGTATTTATTGAATGTATAATACTTTTGTGAATTAGTTGAAAATTAAATGGAAAGTTATTTTATTGGTTTTTCTTCATGTTGCCCTTGAGTAGATAATAGAAACAAATCTAAAATATCTGCATATTATATTTTTAGGCAGGAAGATATTAAACCAAAAAGATAAATATCAATTTTGTAAAATTAAAGATTTTAGAAGATTTTGTACATATTTGCATTTATTGATGTTGAGATGATGATAATAGTTTGTGGCATTTTTTTTAATTAGAGTTTGATAATATCATAAGATAGTAAATAAGATTAAGAGAAATCACAAAA